GGGGTGGGGAATCATGGGGCGCCGGCGGAAGTAGAGATGTTGAACTGGTTTTTTTGTATGTTTTGTTATTTAGTAGGCAGTTTTGGACTATTGCCGAGTAATTACGTTTTCGGTGGTGGCGCAGGGGAAGTCAAATGGAAAAGTGGGGGTGGGGATGGTAGGTGGAAAGAAAGAGATGGAGGGAGGCTCTGGAGATTAGGCTTCATTGGGGGGCGGGTCTCTGCGGCGGAGGCCTCTGGCTGCCCCCACAGCCGGGTCATCAATCGCTCCAGAAACATGCGCGCCGATTTGAATCGCTATCTTCGGCAATATCTGCTCATGGCTGCAACATCGGGCTATGCCGCACCATTCATTTTCCGTTGGTTCATACGCATTGCGTACTCCCCGATTGCATCAGGCCTCGGTCAGAGACTTGGAAGAAGCCAAATGAGAACGTGGGGAAAAATGAAACACACGTATGGCGGCTTTTTTCCTGGCTGGCAAGTACGCAACCTCCGTGCTATAATTGATGCTGCGACATTCTTCTCTCTTTGACTTACAGGACCAAAGCAGCTCGTCGAAGAGAGTCTCTTCTTCCGACGAGGCGATGTCGAGCTCCCTACGGCATGATACGAGTCATCAGTGGAAGCACTCTCGCTCCCTGCCCGGCAGTTGAGTGCGACGCCACTATCTCATGGCCCGTTCAGACGAGTTCATCCACACCGTCCGGTGTCAAGCTACACGAAATCTCATGGTCTTTGCGTTCTTTGGGAATTCCGATTTCTATCGCGATCAGGCGGCCTCTGCGTCTGCTGTTATCAATACTGTCTTCTGTCATCCTGAGCAACGCGAAGGATCTCGCAGTTGAGGTGTTCGGTTATTCATGAGGGCAGTTGGAGGTGTCGAATGTAAGGTGACGGCGGCTAGAGATTCCGTCACTTCGCGTCGGAAGACACTACTCTGAGGTGGCAAGGCAGCCCTCATCTGCTGTCCACGAACATTCACAATCCGCTCCCCTCCCTTCTCCTCCCTCATCGCATCATACTAGTGTGACACGAGAAAGAGCCCTCCTGTACTATGTGCTTCGCAACGAATGCTGCTAAGAAAGCAATCATGAGCGGATTCAGCATCAATTTTCATTTGCATTAATCAACGGCCCAAGGGCGACCCGAGAGGGTGCTGTGCCGATAACGGTCCGCGGAACTTCACGCATTCTTCAAAGAGGAAGTCCAGCGGCTTGGGCTCAAAGGCATCGTCCGTGCACATATCAGGGTGTGTTGATCTTGTGAATATGGTCCCCACGTCCGTCAATTTGAAATAATATATAATAAAAAAAATAACAATATAAGAATAAAGAATAATAATTAAAAATATAAATAAATATTCACTACTTATCTAATTTTCTTATTACACTCCCATACCAACTAAAAACTTAATAAATCTTCATCTTACATCCACTCACCCATATTTCTCCCCCGCATGCTTCCTCCGCATTCCACTCAATCAACCACTCCTCCAACCCCCTGCCCTCCTCCCTCCTTCCCCTCTCCCCCTCCCAGCCTCCCCATCTCTCCGTTCCTCCTTCCCCCTCTCTCCTCCCCCTCGCTCCCTCCTCCTCCCCCTCCCTCCTCCCCCCCCTCCTCCTCCCCTTCAACTCCTCATCTCTCCCCCTTCCTCTAACCCCTCTTCCTTCCTCTCTCCTCTCTCCTCATCTCCTCTCCACTCCTCCTCCTTCTCTCTCTCCCTCACCCCTCCGTCCTTTCTCTCTTCCACCTCCTTCCTCTCCCTCTCCTCTCCCCCCTCCTCCCCCTCCTCCCCGCTCCCTCTCCTCCTCTTCTCCCCTCTCTCCCTTCCCCCTTCCCTCTCCTCCCTTCCCTCTCTCCTCCTCCCCTTCCCTCCTCCCCCCTCCCCCTTCCACCCTCCCTCTCCTCTCTTCCCTCCCCTCCCTCCCTCCTTCCTCTCCTCTCCCTTCCCTCCCTTTCCTCCTCGGCCGGCGTCTGGCTTGGGTCGGCTTCCCCGACCGCCTGCCTCTCTGCCCTTCTGGCCCGACACGTGGTCAAGGGTGAATTGGTCGAACGCCTGCTGATGCCGGGGCACGACGTTCCGCGCAACAGCTCGAATCTCCGCGCCACCCTGATTTCCCCTTAGACGTTCAACCCCATGGCGTGACAAGCAAGCATACTCAACCTCAACCGTAGCGATCAAAGCACGCAAGCCCCACATGTCGGCAAACGAAGCCAAATGGAAAGCGAATCAGGAAAAAGTCGCGTTCCTCAAACAATTTCCCGGGGTTGCTCCGGACCTGGGATGAGGTGGCCGGCCACACCATCACGTCCGTGACCTCGATTGAACAAAGCGAAGCAAAGGTACTCATGCTGGATAACGGTTCTTTTGCCATTGTACCACCTCTTGCGCCGGAACCTCAGCAACTCCGGGATGGGATCACTGCCGCTGCAACCCAACTTCGCACCCTCTACCCCGACGCCTATCGCGAATATGAAGCACTCGCCCAACGGGACAGGGAAGCGACCAGGACGGCACGAATGGAAAACATCCTTGGGGCCATTCACAATAACCTGGAAGACATCCCCGAGTTAAAGGACCGTATTCGTTCACTCGTAAAAAAGTGGAATTCTTAACATGCGACGCCCCGAAAATATGCTGGATATGTTCTCCGGGGGGCTCTTTGAAGGAGTAAAACCCATGATGCTAACGCGGGACCATTTGGTTCGTCATCCGGATCGCTGCACGCATAAGGCCGTGTGTATTCCTGTCTGTCCCACTGGGGCCTGGTTATCGACCCCCCCGTATAAATTCGACGAATCGCGGTGTATGGAAACGTGTCGGATGTGCCTCGATGCCTGTCCTTCACAAGCCATTTACGCCGTCTTTCGAAAAGGCGAAAAACTACTCGTTCCCCAACCCGAGTAATCGCTTTTATCCGATTGTCTTGCGGAGGTGCCCCCAATAGGCCGTGCCCATGGTTCGGCTGCCGCCGGTCAGTGTCGAGGCAGCCATAATCCGATAGACCTCGAACCGGGAAATTTTCAATTGTTGGGCGGGGTCCAGGATATTGTCGCACGTGGTCAGGAGATGCAGCGTTTTCAGGGCGATGAGAATCGGCCACATACAGGCCAGTCGAAGGCGAAGGTCGCGTCGCGGAATGGACGTGGCGTACAGCCATCCTTGATCCAAATGTGCGAGCGCCGTCTTCACCAACGTGTGCAGGATGGGGCTGAAGGCCGCCATCGTGCGCTTATCCAATAAATCGCGAGGTTCCAAGCCTGCCTGCGCCAGCAACTCCAAGGGAATGTAACAGCGCCCGCGGCGCAGGTCCTTGGACAGATCTTTCAAAATATTCGTCAATTGAAGCCCTTTGCCGAACCGGATGCCCGTACGAATTTTGGATTCCCTGTCCCACGTGCGGCGTATGCGCGGCAAATGGGCATACATGATATTGGTCCAAAACTCCCCGACGCAGCCTGCGATCTTATACGTATAAAGGTCGAGATCCTCCAGCGAAGAAAGCGCGGCGAGTTCAGCCTCGGATTCCCCGGGGAAACGATCCAGATCCATTTCCATGCCACTGATAAGAATCGGCAAAACGCGACGAACCTCCACCTGATCATCGGGTGCCAAGTCTTCGTACACCTCAAAACAGCGATCCAGGTGTTCGAGTAACGTGCGTTCACCGGGATGCCCCTGTTGTGGGGCCGTCACAGCTTGAATGGCCTTGACTTCTTCCCGATTGCAGGATTCCCGAACGAATTGGAGCTTGAGCTGCCGCAACAACGTTGCCCTGGTGCCCCGATCCATCCGGCCCGCATCCGCAATCGTATCGGCCGCGCGCGCGAACAGATACGCCAACCCCACCTGTTTGGCCACACACCCCGGCAACACGGCCAGGGTCAGATAAAACGAACGCGAAACCTGCTTTAAAACGTCATGCAGTAAATACCGCTCGACGTGTTTCGCACGCATCATCGACTCTCCGGCCGAACCTCGAGACGCCCCTCCATCCCCTCTTCGCGATGGCTGGGGAAAAACAGCAATTGTTTGTCACAATAAAAGGTGTACGTTCCCGGAGTCTGCACCGAAAACCGGATCGTGACGCTATCTCCGGCATCCACGCTGACGTCATGCTGCAAATCCGACGTCCGGATAATCCATGACGAAATTGTGTGGAGTCAGAAAACTCTGGTTTTCAAGCTGAAGCTCGATCGGCAGGCCCGCTTGAACACTGATGTGCGGCGGAGTAAACGCATAACTGTCCAGCACGATGAAGGCCCGTTGTATGCCATCGGCATCCGGTTGAAGAACCAGAACCTCTTCGTCGGCATCCCCAAGAGAAACCCCCGAAGAAAAAACCCAGCAATACACAACAGAGCAGCACGGCCACCCAAGGTCTATGTCCCATCAATCTTTTCCGCCTTTCCTTTTCCTACCGGCCTACAGGTGGGCAAGTTGTTTCCCAATTCCCCTCTTTTGTAAGGAGGGGTGAGGGGAGGTAGAGAACATTTATAGGGCCTCATCCCGGCGAACATCCCACCTTGACTCACAAAAAAATGGTATTACTATATCATTAATAAAAGAAATATAGATGGGACTTCTTGAGGGTTTCAAGGCAAGTCCCTTTCTTCCTGCCCCGTCTTTAACGGCCCGGCTACCGGCATTTCATGAAACAGTATACGAGTTCATAGTTCACGGCTCATCAACAGGCAAAGTGTTGTTAGTAGAGGAGAAACGAATGAAAAAGCTGAAAGGCGTCGGCTTGCTGCTGCTGTCCAACATCCTGATTTTTATCACCCTCTCGATCACCTTCACGATTCTCTCGGAAATGGTCCTCCCGGCGTTTGGGATCGACCTCAGCGGCTCGTTCGTTCATCAGGACCTCTTGTGGGCCTTTGTCCTTGGATTCGGCGGAGCCTTCCTCAGCTTGGCGTTTTCCAAGAAAATGGCGCGAATGATGTTGAATTGCAGGCAGATTACCCAACCGCAGCACCCCGCCGAATTACTCGTGTATGAGACGGTGCAAGAAGATCGCCAATCGGCTGGACATTAAAATGCCGGAAGTATGGCTGTACGACTCGCCGGACCCCAATGCCTTTGCCACGGGGCCGTCGAAGAACAACTCGATGGTTGCCGTTTCAACCGGCTTACTGACCAACCTGAACGAAGGAGAAGTGCGGGCCGTCCTGGCCCATGAAATGGGGCACGTCTATAATGGCGATATGTTTACGACGACGATCCTGGCCGGCTTGATGAATACCTTCGTCTATTTTATCAGCAGAATCGTCTATCGCCAGGTAGCCGAACGCAATCCCATGCTGGGCATCGGCGTCTACTTTTTTCTCCAGATCGTCTTATCGATCCTCGCGATGATTCCCATCAGTTGGTGGTCACGACGCCGGGAATTTTCCGCCGACAAATTTGCAGCCAATACGGTTGGCAAAGAGTCCATGATCTCGGCGCTGCAAGCGATCGACCGTGGGTCAAACAGGTCGAGTACCAGTATCAGACGGAAGATGCCCTGGCGACCATGAAAATCTCAGGGCAGTCTCGAAGTTTCATGCAAATCTTCTCGACGCATCCGCCGATCGAAGCCCGCGTCGCCGCCTTGCGGAAGTTGTAAACGTCAGAAAAGTTGCATTGATGTTCGCGGGATGAGACTACGGGCAAGCCCGGTGACGCGACGCGCTACTTGGTGTTGCACGCTTTTTCATGCCAGGGGCTTTTTGCGATAAGGTACCCGACCGTCATGCCCAACAGACCGCCGAGACACCATCCGGCGAGCACGTCCGTTGGATAATGTGCACCAAGATAAACGACGGGATAGGCCGCCGAGTACCAGAAGGGGCCCCACGACCCATCGGGTCGAGGGGAACAGCATCCCAAGAAAGGCCGCGGCCGTTGCTGCATTCACTGCGTGATTGGAAGGCAGGCTGAACAGGCCCCGCATCCGGTCAGTTCATTGACGTTCAGCAGAGCCTGACACGGCCGCGGACGAGCCAGCCATAGCTTGATTTGGGCCCCGACGAAATCCCCTGCACCGATCGATACACCCAGGACTGACGTCACCAGCATGCCGTGACGCCAATCGATCCACACCCGCCAGGCCAGATACGCCACCACCAATACGATGAAATTTCTCGCCGATGAACATTGCAGCATCAACCAATCCAAGGCTGATGACTGGCCGACCCACCCATTGACGGCGTGAAAACAATGCCGTATCCCAATCCATTGACTCCCCCGGCTTCTTTGGTGACGGATGATGTGCTAGGATTCCCCGCTAACGTGAACACGGAGAGTTGTTATGCTCATCGACAGCCATGCTCATTTGGATGATCTGAGATACGATACCGATCGGGACAACGTCCTTCAACGTGCCCAAAGCTGCCGGCATTGAAGCCATTGTCACGATTGGCTGTGATTTAGCCACCAGCCAGGCCGCCGTTGCCCTGGCACATGCTCATCCCAACATTTTTGCCACCATCGGCGTGCACCCGCACGAAGCCAAGGAAATCGGAGAGGGCTGGTATGAGTCGTTTCGGTCATTGGCCGACACCCGAAAGTCGTGGCCTACGGCGAAATCGGGTTGGACTATCATTATGACCATTCTCCACGGGAGATCCAACGCCAACGGTTTCGTGAGCAGATTCACCTTGCACGCGAACTGGCCCTTCCTCTTGTCATTCACACGCGTGAAGCCCAGGAAGATACCGTGATGATCCTTCGGGAGAGAGGGCGCGGTTGACGTCGGCGGCGTCTTCCATTGTTTTTCAGGAGACGCGTGGCTCGCCAAGGACGCGCTGGACCTGGGTTTTTATCTTTCCTTCTCCGGCGTGCTGACGTTCAAGAATGCGACGATGTTGCGGGACATCGCGAAGACCGTTCCTCTCGACCGTCTCATGGTCGAAACGGATTGTCCCTATCTTGCGCCCGTTCCCTATCGCGGGAAAGCGGAATGAACCCGCCTACGTGCAATACGTGGCGGAAACATTGGCGGAGATCCGTGGAAACGGGTCCGTTGAATCCATTGCACGGGCCACCGTTGAAAATACAAAACGTGTCTTCAGAATCCCCTGAGTTGGCGTTTCCTGGCCCGGACGGCTTTTGGTCAACTTACGAGGATTGCCTTTTTTATTGGGGCGTTCCGGAGGTCTCTCGTCTTCGATCTTTGCCCCGCCTTGCGTCAAGGAAATGGCTTGAGGCTTCCTGTAAGGTTTTTTTATCTCCAAAAAGTTCGAGTTTTACTTGAAATTCTTGAGACTTCATCACAAAGGCCCCATGGGCTTTGGCCGTCTGGATAATCTCCAAATCCGAAGAAACCACGGCACAGGCTCGACCATACTGCCGGGCCAGGCGTTGGATGACCTGATCGGCACGTTCTCCCCGTTTGGTAAACACCACCTGCACCCCCGTCCGGTGTTCATAATGCTCAAGCCCTGTCTGCTCCCGCCAGGCATCGAACACCACGGTCACGGGATGCCCTTTGGATTGGCTGTACAACGAAAGCCGCCGGATGAGGGCTTCCCGCGTCCCGGCACCGTCGGTTGGCTCCTCCGACTTTTTCTTGCCGAGAGCCCCCAGTAAATTGTATCCGTCTATGATGATAGAGAGTGGCATACGGCGAGACACGCTATCCCAGTGTTTTCATAGTGTCAATGACAGAACACGAAGAGTTTGTTATTCTGAGACGACGTCATCTTCTTTTCGTTAACTCTCATGAAAAACGTTTTTGCCCTTGCCCTGATATGTTACGTGGCCTTTTGGGGGGCTGTTGCGGAGCCGGTATCGGCATCCGAATCGTCCCCTCGTCCTGTCTTGTCCAATAAGGCATTCCCGGCGCACGTTCTGTTGGCAAAAAAAGGAACCTCGACTGGTCGAACCACCTCTACGCTCACCCTCAACAACGTCCGGCATCATGCTCATAAAAAATATACCCGGGTTGTGTTTGACCTGACCGGTCGGGTCGAAATCAAAGAACGCAAGAACCAACGCATAGCGACGATTTCCCTGCCCAATGTCACGCTGAGCAAGCGCGTTCAGCAACAAATTAAGAGAAAAGATTTTCCAAGGGCCATTGCCCTATCTCCGGAAAAGCCTCGAACCGTCAGTATCGTTCTGGACTTACAAGACCCTCCGGACGTACAGAGTCCTCACCCTCCGTCAACCCGACCGGGTGGTGGTGGATCTCTTTTATCCCAAAAAACACCTGGAGTCGCGGCAAAACCTGAAACAAGGACAAACAAACCCTCCAAGCCTGCTCGGCGAGGCAACCCTCGTGGCGTGCAATCGGAAAGCTCCTTCTCGAAAACTCAAAACGACGTTCTCGTCGTCATCGACCCCGGTCACGGTGGAAGAGACCCCGGCACCATCGGGCGAAAAGGCACCAAAGAAAAAGCTATCGTCTTGCAGGTTTCGAAATATTTACGCGAACTGATTCAAAACCGGCACAAAGCCAAAGTATTGTTGACTCGATCGAAAGACGTGTTTCTTGATTTGGAAAAGCGCGTGAAATTTGCCAATAAGAAAAAGTTGGAATGGTGTGGGAAGGACATGGGTTCAAACGTTGATGCAAAGAAAAAGTCACGGATCTGTTTGTTTGTGTCCATTCACGTCAATTCTCATCCCCGGAAATCCATTCAAGGACTGGAGATTTACCATTTTGGAAAGGCCAGTGACCTCCGTGCTCTGGAAGTAGCTGCCCGAGAAAACGGCATGAAATTGGAAAGTGATACCCCACCCTGGCAGTTCATTATTACTGATAGCTTGAATGACCATAAGATCAAAGAATCCCAGACCTTTGCCGAGAGCACGAATGACAAGCTCGTCACAACGTTACGCAAAAATTACAAAATCAGAAATCATGGGGTAAAAACAGCCCCATTTTACGTCTTACGTTTCACGACTATGCCGAGTATCCTGGCTGAAGTCGGGTTTGTGTCCAATTCGATGGAAGAAAAACGGTTGAAGACGACAACTTTTCAGAAAAAACTGGCCGAGGGAATCTATCAAGGCATTCAAGCATACCTCAAGAAACTGTAATGTTCGTGGCCTGTCTCCGCCAGTCCTTAGCGTGGATCCAGATCTTTGGCCCCCTCACCCCAGCCCCCTCTCCCGCTGTATAGACTGGACACATAGGTAACAAACGTGCCGGATACATAGGGAACACTCACACCTCGTGTGGCATACTCTTCTCTTCACCTCGTTGAAGGAGGAGCGTATGCCTTGGATGAAGAAGGATCTCATGTCATTGCGCGGAGAATTTGTGCACCTGGTAGAAACGGAGCTGCTCCTCCTGGCCACCCTGTGTCAGCGGTTTGGGATCAGCCGCAAAACGGGCTACAAGTGGCTGGCGCGGGACCGCGACGAGGGGCGGGAGGGGCGAGGTGTTGTGGAGTGGGAATGGTCAACGAATGAGTGAACACATCCAATCCGGCACCGGTTTATGACCACGTACAAGCTACTGCTTGAATATGACGGGACAATGTATGCCGGATGGCAACGGCAACCCGACCAACCTACCATCCAAGCGGCGCTTGAAGCCGCGTTGCTCCAAATTACCCGATCCTCTATCTCGACGATAGCGGCAAGTCGAACGGACGCGGGCGTTCACGCCCTCGGACAGGTCGTCGGTTTTCAATCGGAGAGACCGTTACTGCCCCATGAGTGGACTCGCGCCTTGAACGGAGTGCTCCCGAAAAACATCAGCGTACGCCAGACGGAGGTCGCGGCCGAGGACTTTCATGCACGGTACGACGCGCACTCCAAAACGTACGAATATCGAATTCTCAATCAACCGACACGGCCGGCGTTGGATCGTCTCCGTGTTTGGCAGATTGCCAAACCCCTTGACGTGAACCTCATGCGCGATGCCTCACGTCACGTCCTGGGGCAACACGACTGCACGTCGTTTCAAGGGCCGGCTGCCGGCACGAAAAATCCCGTCTGTACGATCGAGCGGATTGACTGTTTACACGACGGCCCATTGATTCGTTTCACGATACAGGCCGACCGGTTCTTGAAACAAATGGTTCGGGCATTAGTCGGGACCCTGGTCGAAATCGGTCATGGGAAAAGGGGGCCTGATGCGTTGATGACCATCCTCGAAGCCAGGGATCGCCGAAGGCGGTCCCACGGCGCCCCCTCAGGGGCTCTACCTTCTTCGCGTCCATTACAAAACGGAAGAGTTGTAAGCCGGCGCTCAATGCCCGGCCGCCTTCGTCATCCCTGTAAAGGTTCAGTCATTCGTTGACAGTTTCCGCCCCGCGTCTTGTAGTGGCGGATCTCAGCGCCCTTCCGGGCCTATCCCTCTCTTCCTCCGCTAGCGCGCCGTACTCATGGCGTTAGTCCGTTTCTTGGACGGCCGCTTCGGACGCATGAGATGCGCCCTACAACTGCACAACGACCCTGGATCACTTCCTGTACGGATCCCCGCCTTGATCGGAGATCCCGGCGGAAAGACAGACTACAATTCCGTGACGCCGTCGCTTCGCACAACCCGTTTAACCTGAATGCGACCGCGCATAAATGGATGGATCTCGCAATGATAGGAATAGGTTCCCGGAGGCAAGCTGTTCACGCTGAAACGTTCACCGGGATGAAGATGTTCTGAGGCAAAGGCGCATTTCCCTCCCCGCCCACACCCGTCGTGGGTCACGGTATGCGGCTGCATCGACTGATTGTACCACTGCACCGACTGCCCCGGGAGATCGTCATAGTCGAGGGCGCATAAAAAGGCGTCCGATCCAAAAGGATGATTTGAGAACCCCCTGCCTGACCCGAGCCAAGCGGAAGGACAACGACAAGTCATCATCCAGCCGAGACAAGCATGCGCGAGTTTCAACACCGAGAGTCCTCTTTCCAGGGACGGCACGGGGCCGTCCCCTACATATCATACAAACCAACACATGTTGAGTAAATGCTTTTGCTTACTTGACCGAATGGCGTGTCTTGCGATGCCCGATGGTTCCCAAGTGACATTGCCATGCTCAAGGAGTAAAATTTTATCAGAAGACGTGCAACTGACCTTCCTATGAAACCGAGATCATGATTCCGAATTGGACCACCCGACTTTTCGTCTGGCCGTTGCTCAATTCGACCAGGTGGCGGAAGCCATGAACCTGGAAACCAATTTGCGAGAGCGGCTGAAGACTCCGCAGCGGTCGTTGATCGTCGCACTCCCGATTCGAATGGACGACGGCCACGTTCGCGTCTTTCAAGGATACCGGGTCCAACATGATTCCGCACGCGGGCCATCCAAGGGCGGGCTGCGGTACCACCAGGACGTCGCCCTGGGAGAAGTGGCGGCATTAGCCATGTGGATGACCTGGAAAACCGCTCTGGTCGGACTTCCATATGGAGGGGCAAAGGGTGGCATTCAAGTCAATCCTCATATGCTGTCACTCTCCGAACTGGAACGTCTCACCCGGCGATATGCGGCTGAAATCTTTCCGCTGATCGGCCCGGACAAAGATATTCCCTCACCGGATATCGGCACGAACCAGCAAGTCATGGCCTGGTTCATGGACACCTACAGCCAGCAGGTCGGATTCTCCGTCCCCGGCGCCGTCACGGGCAAACCCCTTGCAATCGGAGGGAGTCTGGGTCGCGAAGAAGCCACCGGACGAGGGGTGGTGAACGTGACGATAGAAGCACTCCGCCATAAGGGGATTGACCTGGAGGATACGAGCGTTGTGATCCAAGGGTTTGGGAACGTGGGTTCACACACCGCCAAAATCTTCGACGAAGCCGGGGCTCGAGTGATTGGCATCAGTGACGTCACGGGTGGCGTCTTCAATCCGAAAGGGTTGCCGATAGACGCGATCTTTCAACACCATCGGCTCGGTTTGCCCGTTCAAGACATGAAAGTCGGTGATCACCTGACCAACGATGAGTTGCTTGCCCTGGATTGTACGGTACTGATTCCCGCCGCGCTCTCTGAACAAATTACCGGCAAAAACGCCGAACGCCTCCGCTGTCGCATTCTGGCGGAAGCGGCGAATGGGCCGACGACGTTGGAGGCGGACGCTATTTTAAACGATCGGGACGTCTTCATTATTCCCGATATTTTAGCCAATTCAGGCGGAGTGATCGTCTCGTATTTTGAGTGGGTCCAGGACGTCCAACATTTTTTCTGGAATGAGCGTGACATTCAGCAACGACTTCATGAACTCATTACGCACGCCTTCCATCGACCTTCGCTTGCAGAGAGAGAAGAAATTTCACGATGACGGACTGCCCGCCTCATGACCGACTGCGATCAGGTTGCACAGGCCCATACCGCCCGCGGGCTCTATCCCTGACAAGAAACTTTCATGAATGCGCAGATAGAATGACAGAGCATGAAAGCCCTGACAGAGCTTCTTCTCGTCATGTACCTCTCCTCCTTTGCAAGCATGTGCGCGACGCGTGAACCACGGCGACCCCACGCGCCACGTCACGTGAAACAGTGGGTGACAAGAAAACCCGGTTTGTTCTCCAGGACAACCCCTATTTTGTGGATTTATGCAGGTCACGAGACACTACGAACCCCCCGATATCAAACTGCTGCGTCCATCATCCAACGCGATGCGCCCCTCCATCGCCCCATGACCACAACAGCTAGCTGATGTCCTCACGCCACCGGCGTTCAGCGCAGCTACGAGCCGGGGGCTATCTCTCTCAATGCAGAGGACCGTCCCGTTTATCGGCATGCCCCCTTGGGTCCGGATAGTGTTTGTCCCCATCCGGCCTGTCGCAATAGTCACAAGCCAATGCCGACTCCAGGCTGTCTGGTTGCGTACAGAAGGCCCCTGAGAAAGATATTGACGTTCGATTCAAAATGTGGAACAATTCAAACTAACCTGATCAATGAACATTTTGCACGCCGTGCAGTGAGGACAAAGAGAACACGTGGGCATGGAGACGATCTGAAGCGCGAACACCCTGATCTGCAGTAGCGTGTTCGCGGATAGTGTGACGGCAGAACATGAAAACATGTCAACATAAATACATAATTCCCCTATTTTGTGGGAATGAAACCGGCCAACTGCCTGCATCGTTGGCCAGCCTTCACGATGTTGCATTTCTCTCTTTGAGACACTACGATAGTTAGCATGCTTTCAATCGACACTTTAAGGAGGTGCGTCTGATGAACAAATTTCCTATGGTCTCGGCTGGTTCGTGAGAAAGAGAATGGTCTGCAGGCCCGGCCCGACGAGGCGGCTGACGGGCGTGCTGGTCCTGACGCTAGCCGCCCTGCTCGGCATCCGCCGCAGAGCGTGGGCCGCGAACGAGTGCGGTCCCGCCCGAGACGGTGACAGAGATCGTTTGCGCGCCTATCAGACTACGACCCGCAGGGGCGGCACGATCTTCTATTCCTAGCTGCCTACGGGCCACGACGAGCGAGCGGCGACTTTCAGCATCGCGCCTCACCTGGGGACCCCTCGCTCGACTTACGAACCGCGAGCGTCGGCCGACGACGTGTGTACGTCTCTCTCTCAACCCGAAAGCCGAACTACAGCGCCGTATGGATAACGCCGGCCGGGCGATCACTGGCGAGACGGGCGACTAGTTCGCTCTACTCCACTCCCTCCTCCGCGACGTGACCTCGACGGCGGGGTAAGCTCGTCGCCGGCCTGACTACGGGAAGTGCGGGCGCGCTGCGGTTGGACATTTCGGGACGGGCAGACAGTACGACGAAGGCAGGTGGCCACGCGAGCGCGCGGCGTTCGTTATGTAAACGCACGGGCGACGTCGAAATGATCGTCCGCGGCGTCCACCGTCGCCACGGAAGGACCGGGCGCCTTGGGCATCTCTCATCCTTTCAGCAATCCGAGGGAGACAGTGCACCTCGACGTTCGGGCGGCGCCGTCTCGACGCGGCGCAGGGGGCAGTCTGGCATCTTCAGCTGTGCTCGTAAGGCAGCGGCGACGGACCCTCGCCGCGCGGGATCTCACCGTCACATCACCACGGCGGGAGAGAGGGCCAGAGGCACTCTACGGCGTTCATAGAGGGAACAGGGCACCCTGAACCTCGAACGTCGGGGCGTGCGCGCCATCTCGACGATGCGGCGCGAAAGCATCCGGGGGGTCTATGAAATCATACAGGGCGAGGTGGACGTGAAACTCGACGTGCGGGAACCTCGCCGTCACCACGGCGGGAGAGGCGGGGGCCAGAGCCATCTACGGCGATAATAGGGGAACGGCACACCTGAACCTCGATCGTTCGGGGCGGCCGCGCCCATCTCGACGAGCGGCGCGCAGCATCCGTGGGGGGCGTATATGAAATCCATTCAGGCGCGGGGGACGTGACACTGTCGCGCAGGATATCGCAGGAACAAAAGAGGGAGATGGGGGGTGTGGCTGTTCGCTGGTCCGGACGGCGGGCGTGGGGGGGGGTGTTGGCCAGAGGCATAAAGGCGATCATAGGGGAACGGGCACCCTGAACCTCGCCGGGAAGGATCTCGCCGTCACCCGGCGGGAAGAAGAGTGAGAAGGAGCACATCGGCATCAACGGGAGCCATCCTTATGGAGGGCGACCCCCGTTCGACCTCGCTGGGGGGCGGCGGCGTCACGACGAGCGGTTGTTTTGCCAGGGCCGTGCCGGGGTTGCGCGGCTCCCACTCCGGCGCGGGTTATGATCGACGATAGACTGAGGGAGACCACCAATCGCCCGACGGAGCGGGGGCGGGACGGCGTCGAGAGCAACCACGGGGGCTCGGGGTGGTCGAGTGCGCATCGCCGTGGAGTCGTCGGTCCACGCCGCGGGACGGACGCGAGCGGCGTACGAATGGGCAGGCTGTGGAGAGAGGACGAACCGTCTCGCTCGCCGCCCTACGCGGGCGAGGACGGCTACCGCAAGCAGAGCGTCAGGTGGGAACGGCCGGTCACTCGGCGCGCGGGCGAGGAAGACGGCGCTGTCTTTCTACTGGCGCGGCGGCAGAGCGTCATCGGGCCGAAGGGCAGCGTCGGGGCGGCGCGTCGAGGGTCGCGATTCTCGCCTCGGGCGGCGCGCCCAAGCTACACGTCTCCATGAACCTCGACGGGCGGCGGGTGGCGGGGGCCATCGGGGACAACTGGATCATCAACGACGGGGGCGAGACCACCCTGCTCGTGAACGGCGTGACGCTGCACGAAGGCGCCTCGGGCGCCACCGGCCTCGAGGTCCTGAACGGAGCGTGGGACGTGACCCTGCGCGAACACGAGACCATTGCGGGCAGGACGTTTACGCCCGAAGAGTTCACGGAAACTACGCACCGCGCGCGGCCGTCTACGAAGCCCTGCCCGGGCTCCTGCTGCGGTGCTGAACAGCCGGGGCCCGGCCGGGGAGCGACTCGACCCGAACGGGTCGCCCGCCTGGGTGCGGGTTGCCGTGGCGCGGGCGGTATACGCCGGTGCAAGCCAGCGTGGGCGCGAAGTACGACTTCCACCGCGTCGAGGTAGAAGCCGGGCTGGACGTGGAGTTGGGGCCGCGGCTGACGGTACGCTGTCGGTGCGTCACGTCCAGGGCTCCGGAGACGTGTCCTCGCCGACCGGCGGTGGCGAGATCAACGCACGGGGCTTGGGTGGGGCCATCGGCGTCGCGTGGGCGGGCCCTCGCGGCTATTATTTCCAGGCCGGGTCTCGGTGATCGACTACGACGTGGACCTCGTCTCGGATACGCGGGGGACGTTGACGGAGGACGCCAGTGCGTTGGGGCATTCCCTGGGCTTTGAGACGGGGCGGCGCTTCACTCTCAGCGAGCGGCTCACGCTGACGCCCCGGGTGTGGGTGACGCGCTCCAAGATTCCCTGGACGTCACGGACGCGGTGCAGTCGCGGCTGTCGACAAAGGACTCGGATCGCCTGGCGGCCGGCACCGGCCTGGTGGCCGAGACCGAGCGGGTCTGGGATAACGGGACACAGGCATTCGGCGCCGTTCGGGGGGCGCTGGATTTGTGGCGGACGTTAGGGGATGGCACGGCCCTCAACGTCTCCAGCGGGGCGCCGCTGAAGTCGGTGTCCGACAAGACCCGGGTGCTCATCAGCCTGGGGGGCGTCTACCGCTGGGGCCGGTTCTCGGTCAGCAGCGACGTGGCCTTGGGCGGCCTGGGGTCGAGAGACCAGGAATACGCCGGCCTCCTTAATCTCGGCATCCAGTTCTAGCAGCTATCGGGTAAACGGGTCGTTCGCGCTCGCCGGCTGCCCCTCGCCGGGAGAGCCGGATGCGCCGTGATCACGTTTGTGCCGGATTCGGACAGTGGCCTACGGTCCCACACATTCCGCGGGCTCTATCCCTGATATACCGACATCTCTCATACAGATTTGCAGTCCGCACACCGTGGGCTGAAAATGGGATACCTCGAATCAATCTGTCATGCCCGATGATTCATCCCTCCTGTCATCCTCGACACCTGTCCCCCTCCTGTCATCCTCGACGCTTGTCCCCGACATTCTTAATCGGGGATCCAGTCAAGTAAAGGATCCAGGGTTGTTTCTTATGAGGTTAAAGACACTGGATCCCCGATCAGGTCGGGGATGACAGACAAAGACAAAAGCAAGACTGGATTCCCGATTAGATCCCCGATCGGGTCGGGGACAGGCGTCGGGAATTGTAAAGGTTCACTCATTCGTTGACAGCATCAGGGCTGACTATCTTCCCCCTCTTCTGTAGCGGCGCCATCTCATGGCGCTTTCCGTTGGCCGCATCAGAGGCGGCCCTACGAATACCTCTACCTCCCCTCACCCCTCCCGATCCTTCGGCTACGCTCAGGACAAGCAAAGGAGGGGAAAGGCGGGGTGGAAATTGTCAACGAATTACTGAACACATACAGGAATGACAGATTGGGGATGATGCTTATGCCAATGACAGAAGGGAACGGGTTACGCCACGTCCCCTGCATAAATTTTCATGCAGGCGTCCAAAAACGTTACGGCATCGGGTTTCGGGCGTTGGAAAGAATTCCGGCCGATAATCGAACCGAAACCTCCCCCATCGCGAATCGCCCGCACCTCGTCGAAAATGGTCTTGTCCGTACCCTTGGCGCCCCCGGAGAAAATGACGATGCGTCTCCCGTTGAACGCACTTTGCACCACGTGACGGATTCGCTCGACCGGGGTACTGATCGGAATGTTCTCGGCTTCATAGACCTTTTTGGCTTCCGGTTGATAAATATGATCCGTCGGCACTTTGACCTTGATGATGTGCGCTCCCAGTTGGGCTGCGATCTGGGCGGCATAGCACACCACGTCAATGGCCGTCTCTCCCGCCTTGTTCAATTTCCCGCCACGGGGATACGACCAGACCACTACGGCCAGTCCGACGGACTTGGCTTCCTCGGCAATTCCTGCAAATTTTCATACATCTCCTGGCTGTACGACGACCCGGGGTAAATGGTGTACCCGACCGCACAACATCCCAAACGAAGAGCGTCCTGCACGCTGCCCGTCACGGCTTGATTGTAGTCGTCGCCGCCGAAAAGAGAGTCGCTGTTATTGAGCTTGAGGATCAATGGAATGTGGCCGGCATATTCCGCTGCGCCGGCCTCCAAGAATCCCAAAGAAGCCGCACAGGCATTACATCCGGCATCAATAGCCAGTTCAAAGTGGTAAAGAGGATCATACCCGGCAGGATTGGCTGCAAAGCTTCTGGCAGGACCATGTTCAAAACCTTGATCCACCGGCAAGATCAAGAGCTTGCCGGTTCCCGCCAACCGGCCGCTCATCAATAACCTGGCCAAATTGACCCGAATGCTCGGCGCGTCACTTTGATAATACCCGAGGATTTCTTGTACACGTTTGGTGATTCTGGAACCTTCACTCACAAGCCATTCCTCCTGTGCTGAATGGTGACGATCAGTCGTTTTCCAATTTTTTTCGCAGGTCGATGAGTTCCCGCTCCATGGCGTCAAACCGTTCGGCAATCGGGTCGGGAATGTTCGCATGATCCATGGCTTCTTCGGGCACCCGGCCCCCGATCGATTTGACGATGCGGCCCGGAATGCCGGTGACCGTGGAATTGGATGGAACCGACCGTAAGACCACCGAATTGGCTCCGATTTTCACGGAATCCCCGATTCGAATATTCCCCAACACCTTGGCACCCGACCCCACAACCACGTGATTCCCCAACGTCGGGTGTCGTTTCCCTTTTTCTTTTCCCGTTCCACCCAACGTGACCCCTTGAAACAACGTGACGTAATCGCCGATTTCCGCGGTCTCGCCAATCACCACGCCCATGCCGTGATCGATGAAAAACCCATGTCCGATTGACGCACCGGGATGAATTTCGACACCCGTGACCCAACGGGCGACTTGTGAAACCAGCCGGCCCACTAATCGAAGCCGCATCTTCCACAACCGGTGAGCCACTCGATGGGCCAGCAACGCCTGAAACCCGGCATACGTCAAAAACACTTCAAGCGTGGTCCTGGCTGCGGGATCGCGATCAAACACGGCTCGAAGATCCTGTTGAATCGTGCTGAACATCATTTAAATCGCTTTCTCATCAGACGACGTACAAGCAATAAGACAGACGGCTTGGGCGGCAATCCCTTCTTGTCTGCCAAGCGTCCCGAGATGATCATGGCTTTTGACCTTCACGTTGACGAGTGACGGTTCAACCCGTAAGACCCGGGCCAGTTGCTTACTCATCTCAGCCAAATAGCTTCCTAATCGAGGAGCTTGGGCCACAACCACCGTATCCAGATTGACAAGACGAAACCCCCGCTCCGCGAGTTTGACGTGAATGCCTTTCAGCATATCCAGACTCTTCATATTGGCAAATTGCGGATCACTGCTGGGATAGTAACGGCCCAAATCCCCTTCTCCCATAGCTCCCAACAGCGCATCACACACCGCATGCGTGAGAGCGTCCGCATCGGAATGGCCATCCAACCCATGAGTATGCGGAATATGAACCCCGCCCAGCATGAGCGGTCTTCCTTCTTTCAGTTGATGAATGTCGTACCCGATGCCGATCCGCATACGTATCCTTTGCTATCCGCGACTCTCAAACTAATAAAGATACAGGAAACAACCAACAAGTGAAAAGAGAAGATTTCTTATACGCCCTCTCCCCGCCATGCTGGTGAGAGGGATGGTGAGCATCTTCGTCTTTCTGTATCATTCTTGTATGTGTTCAGTAATTCGTTGACAGAATGACAGGTGACTTACCCCATCATCTGGAGGCGAACGTATGCGCAAGAATACGAAGGATGAGACCCTCTACCGCAATGATGTCCGCAAGTGGAAATTCCTGATCCAGGAATACGAATTGGTCAACCAGACACGGCATCCCAAAAGATGAGAAAGCGGCGATCAAATCTCCGCCCCCCTTTGGCGACTTCTTTCTCCGAGACCAGATGGTGATCAGCGTGCAATTGCGATGTGCCTAATGTTGCGTTCCGAAATAACGTTGACGAATTATGGAAATCCATTTCTCTTTTTATACCAATGGGTTATATGACATCACAAAGTCGCCAAAGCACCTGTTAAGGAAAATGCATTTCCAAAACGCAACACTAGTCCCGATCCCGGTCGATCCGAAAGCTTGCGACCAACGGCAGGTGATCGGATACATCTTTGCGGAATTTCTCACGTCCCATGTTCATGGCCCAGTGCATAGGAAACACTCGCAGACTACCTCGTATGTACTCGGTGCTGAAAGTTCTGCTGATCGCGAACCCGTCCAGAAGGTTGGCTCGTCCGACTTTGAGAATATGCGAATACCGATCCTGTAGATCCCAGGATGACAGGAAATTCATCAGGTCGTCACCACCTAGATGATGGAAATTACTCACGTCCTGACCGGGGATCATATTGAAGTCACCCACTAACAGGATGTCTTCTCTGCCATCTCGGCGACGGTTTGTGATGAAGCTCCCAATGACCTTTGCTTGTTCGTCACGAATTTTTTGCTCTTCTGAATTACGGCCGGATTTCAGATGTACTACGATCAGGAGGAAGTCAAAGGCCCCTACTTTCATGTCCACCAGAAACGCCTTGCGCCTTTCTGGGTCATTGAGGTCGGAGCCTGCTAGAAGACGAGGATTCTCTGCGACAACTCCGTCCTTGAAAAGTACCCCTATGTGGAGAGCGTTAGCCTGTTCCAAGATTACGGATTTGTAGACAACGCCTTTCTTGCCCAGGCCTTCCTTTAGCTGCTTCAAAACAGAAAGGGAGTTGATCTCCACAAGTGCCACGACCTCTGCATCCAGCAGCGCAAGACCTTCTACCTGCCGCTCAACGCGTCATCTGAAATCCTGCCAAAACCTGCAAGGTTCCAGGCCGCAATTTTTGCCGTCGATCTCTCTCTTTTAACTTTTTCGGCACGGCATTACGTCAGGAAAAGAGGCGCGTCTCTTGACTAATCGTGCTCTAGGTGTAGATCTAAGACGCAGAATCACGTCACCTGGAAGTTTCGTTCTCCAAGCTGTATTAGAATCGGTAGACTCTCTATAAGGGATGGCGCGGGTGAAATCTCACGTGATCCGCGTACAAAGTGACCAAAAACTCGGTGGGAATGACTCCCTATGCCTCCAAACACGCTAGAATAGTCTACGGGTCCATATCTACCTATACATGTTCCCAAAAACATCATACGCACCTTCAGTCGTCCACGCGAGAAGGATTTTCGTGTCATATTATTCTTCATCTTCTTCTTCAACCCGCTATCTCCTTACCAGTACCAGTTGGGAGCGCTGATTTTTTCACTTAACGTCTCCAATTTCGCCGGAGGTGTGCACGGACATCAAGCGATCGTTTCTTTCTTGCCGCAAGTCACTACGGTAGATCATGAAGCTCTTCCATGGCCGACACTACTGAACAACGCTGCTAACTAACTCAGCACCTGTCAGCCGTGCGCATGCGCTAGGCAGGGGCGTCGTTGTGCGCACGTATTGCCAGGCGAGTTGATAGACCTGCAGAGGAACTCTCTGCCTCCAGTGCCTTCTGTAAGTAAGTGTTCCAACTGGATAGCTTGCTGTTGATTTGCATGCTAACTGTATAACACATGTGTGCAATTCGTTGGACAACCATACACATTTTCTGGTAGGTTAGAATGAGTCATCTAGAAGCAGGTCAATGCAACACAGTTATAGTGTAGGTCAATTTTACACATAAGCAATGTCCTAATCTGAGCACAATGGCATGCTAACCTAGCACATGTGTCATTTTCATTTGACAACTACACACTTTCTGGTAGGTTACAATGAGTCATCCAGAAGCAGGTTTACACACAAGCAGTGTGCTAATCTGAACAAATTTGTCATGCTAACCTAGCACATGTGTTATTTCGTTGGACAACTATACACACTTTCTGGTACATAGGTTAAAAGGAGTCATCCAGAAGCAGGTCAATGCAACACAGTTATAGTGTAGGTCAATTATACGCAAAACCAGTGCGCTAATCTGAACAAATTTGGCATGCTAACTTAGCACATGTGCTATTTCGTTGGACAACTACACACTTTCTGGTAGGTTAGAAGGAGTCATCCAGAAGCAGGTCAATGCAACACAGTTATAGTGTAGGTCAATTCTACACACAATCAGTGTGCTAATCTGAACAAATTTGTCATGCTAACTTAGCACATGTGCTATTTCGTTGGACAACTACACACTTCACCAATGTGCTAGATTAGAACACATTTTAATATGTTATTGTAACACATGTTGAAAAACAGCACATTTATAAGTGTGCCAACTCGTTGGACAACTACCTACTTTTTTATGTGCCTAAAACACACAGTTGGAATGAGCATAAAATGTGTAAGTATGACACACCTGAATTTAGAGTGTACAGAGCGAGCGGATCCGCATTATTGCACCCACTAATACTCGGAAATACCAATGTCGCGCCATGGGTTTAAGAATGATGCACCATCAGCTATGACAACATTCCCACACCGGTGGTTAATGAGGTGCAAATACACCTGTGCATCCATAACAACACCCCCATACCAGAGGAAATGAAGTGTAAATCCTTGGATGGCAAGAGAAACACTGCTATATTTATTCCCCAGCCCTAGATCTCAAGAACCAAACACAATAGAATGCACCCATACAAACTCAACCAGAAAAATTAACTTTTAATTATAATATAGTCAAACAGCTTCTGCCATAATGAAACCCTGACCGCACAACGGTGCTATTTCACGTGATCATTATGCGCAAACCGCCAGTGAACACTATTTTTCTCGCTTTCTCTATACTGCGGTTGGTGCAGTCGGGATACCCGCTCAGCTCTACTCAGCGTTTAGGGTTGAGCTAAACTGACGAACTTTTTATGCTGCCACCACGGCATGGAAATCATATGCACATACACTTCAAGTTGTTGTCAGGTTAAAAGTCCATTACCACCTGTAGGTGGAAAGTTACGGGTGGGGATATGCAGCCTCTGCAACATTCTGTGACATTATTCATCACATTCATGGTGGAAGTTATTCGTGACGAGTGTCTAGGCCAAAATTGTTGGCTTTTATTCTGTTTGTCACACCAAGGAAAAGAATAATATATTGCATAATTATGATTAGCTACGCTTATACAAAGTTAGCCATAATTATATCGAAGTTAGCCATGGCTAGTTTTTTCTTTGCTTTGTGGAAGGCTTGCTCCTTGAGTCAGCCTTTCTTTTTCTCTTACCTCTCCCACTAGGTGAGGGACTTGGGATTGAAGAGGGGCCCCTGAAGAATCATAATAATATTATGATGGGTTAAATAATGTAAGTATTTAACATTGTAGGCAAAAATGCACTATATAGGCCATGTGCACAAGTGGCCACATAACATAATATTACGTGTGGATACCCATGATTTGGATCCTGTTCCTGCGCTAAGTTGTCTTTGATATGCTTTGCTAAAACATTGAGATCCACCTCTCTCAATACAGTAATAAGAGTGGCCCAGGATTGTAGTGTCCTCCCAGTTCCCTCCAACCACCTCTGAAGAATAGCTTTTGTTATTCGAGTCTGGTCAGGTCTATACTGGGCCTCAATAGTAGCTGTTATTTGACCACTATCATCATTGAGTATAAGTATGCCCAAGTCGTGTTTCTTTCCTTGAGCTTGATGCGTGGGATTATCTTTCCCGGTTGGTACTCATGGATTTGGGTGAGGGGGATTTTTGGAGGTTCAAAACTTGATTCCACTTTCCATCCCTTATAGTTGGATTTTCTGGTACCGAAAGAGCAATCGCATCAGTTGAATAAGAGCATGTCATTTCACATGTAACAAACTTAGTTGCATTATGGTATTCCCAAGTACTGTAACCCTCGCTGCGCATGCGCGCCGAGGGTTAAAAATACTCACACTTACGTGATTTGCGAAAATCGAATTGCTCGCCATTCTCGCGTGACATATATCCACAGTGCAATACCGTAATATCATCTGTCCTCCCTTCTTTTACTACAATGTGTCGTATGTCTCGCCTTATACGGTAGTAGCCATTCCTTCGGGAGCAGACTTAGCTAAATAGTGAGACTCCTATAAACGACACTACTTTAGCTAGATAGCTACGTAGCTTATCTACACAAACATTAAATTAGCTAGTATCCTACACAATGATTTAAAATAACTGTATATATAATTATAGTTTCCTACACAAAAAAACTTATGTTTTTGTGTAGTAGACTATAGCTACAGTTTTTTTAAATGTTTGTGTAGTAGACTAGATACATAGCTATCTAGCTAGTGAATTCTAAGTATGCTCCCGAGGGAATATATACGTAGCTACTACCGTCTAAGAAGGGCTTTAGTATCCTACAAAAACAAAATTACAAAGAAGAATCCCTGGCCAGTCCGGTTCCACGCATACATTCTGGCAATAAGGTCTCCTCGTAAACAAAAATATGGCCGTAATTAACCCTCGGCGCTCATGCGCAGCGAGGGTTACAGTAGTTGTCGTGTGTGTCTGTCTGCCGTTACCCAACATTTCACTTCACGAGTCATGAATCGCTCCACAAACAATACCAGGTATTCAGCGTCGGGTATAGGGCTACGCGAGCCTGAACAATAAAAAGGGCGATTTTCTTGAAACGATTACGAGAGATATATATGCCGTGAAAACAAGCTAAAAAGCCAATTGCATATTAGCAGTGGGCTTACCGCGACCTCATCCTCTCGCTCCTGTGTACCTTGGGGGCTCAGGAAGTCAAACGAATCGACTCCCGCATGCTATCTACTGTGTAACTAGCCCGTGTCAGACTCTCCTCGAGCCCAGCCCATCAATTAGCAGTATCGCGCTTGCGCTGTTCGCCGAAGGTTTGCACTTTAGTGCTTTTCATTGCAAAAGCAAAGCGTTAAACAGTTATGGCATGAAAACCAAGTTAACAAGCCAATACCCCCACCGGATTTTGTTGCTATTTATGTATCTACGGAAGCAGACGAGTGTCGAGTGCAGCGAACCTTAATAGCTCAAATCTAAACGCTGAGTGTAGCTGAGCGGGTATCCAGACCGCACCAACCTCAGTATGTAGGAAGCAAGAAAAATAAACGCATGCGTGTGTTACACTGGCGGGTTGCGCATAATGATCACGCCATAAGTAGCACCGTTGAGCGGCCATAATTTCATTTTTGTGAGGGCAGAGCTCGAGCAAATTATCTGGTCGTTTCTGGTGCAAATAGCTGGCAATCAGCACTCGTGCATTGCGCGCGTTAAATGCAGAGGGGGCTGACCGATGGAGAGCAAGAAGAAGGTATGTCCGCAGTGTGACACCACAGTCTATACATGCTATATAGACGGGCGGTTTCCGTCAAAAAGGAGAAGAACTTTAGAGACTGAACAAGAGAAATTTGCGAGAACAGAGCGTGACAGGCTATATAGCAACGTAAACAAAGCACAAGGGCAGCTGAAACATACGATCAAACTTCACCCAAATTTCACCCCGGCGAAGAAGTAAAAGACTGCGTAAAGAAATCACAAAAGCGTCTGAAACTATTGAGCAGACGTTGCATATAGGCAGGAACGTGAAAGACTTCATAAAGAAAGCGCCACTGGGCCACTCTTACTGTACTGAGAGAGGATGAACTCAATGTCTTAGCAAAGCAAATGTGAGGGCCGCAGAAACACCGGACAAAAGTTCACGGAAAGAAAGCATTAAAAAATTAGGCAAAAGCTCAGAGATCCAAAGTGACCCATGGATATGTGTGTATGTATTACCACCGTATGATGTATAGAAAAAGTGTTGCCCAGCGTAGAAAATCTAAATATGCCAAAGTCAGTCCTGATATAATACTTCGAAATGTGTTTAATGCTGAGTTTAGCTACATTCGCAATGAAAAGCACTAAAGTGATAACCCTCGGCGAACTGGGCATGCGCGGTACTGCTAATTGATGGGTTGGGCTATTATAGTATGCGTTAACTCGTGGTCGTGGTTACCCGCTAGCAGCTCGCGGAGAGACACGGGCTAGCTACAGTAGTAGATAGCACGCGGGAGTCGATACACGTTGTTTTTTGCGACTTCTTGTGCCTTCAAATCCACAGAACAAGCGCACCGGTCGAGGCAAGTGCCGATTAGCATTTTGGCTTGTTTACTTTGTTTTCACGCCATAACTCTAGAACGCGGCACTTTTACGAAAATCGCGCGAGCGGGAGCGGGCCGTCACAACAGGCCGATTTTTTTTATCGTTGGTCGTGTAATTGCGCATGCGCGTCTTTGTACGCGCTTCGAAATTTTTTACACATTTTCACACACGGTATACCTCGCCGATCAATCTAAGAACTCTCAGTCTCCTCCATTCGACGGCATGCGCTGCAACCTTCGGTGACTGACCGAGGTTGTATATACCTCTTCCCAATCTTCATGGTTCCAAGGTGCAACTTGCAAATGCGCTAGGATTTCTCGTGCACATACTGCTGCATGCCAGCTGCCTGGTGGACCACGACTGACGAGCTGAAAGCGTAAGGTAAGTATATACCGTTCTGCTCACCTGCTCACCGTTCGGCCAATGTACAATACGCATGTAACGACGACAGGTAGATCTGTCTTTCACGAAAGGGCACGTTATGCAGCCCGAACATGGCGGGCAAATCCAAGTTGGGTCGCTCCCGCTCGCCAACAATGTTCAACATTTCCACTAGTCAAAATAAAGCTGGTGTAGCGCTGGAACCGTTTGTGTCGCTTTTTTACCTGTTTGTTGCAGTTGGTGGCAGAAAATGTGGTAACAGACTGACAGACGGACCGACAAACCTAGTAAACCTTCGCTGCACATGCGCGCCGAGGGTTAATGACATGGATATGCAAGACATGTGATAGATCTTTGGTGAGAGGTTCCATGCCACTGCAAGCGAAGACTAATGGGTTACAGTTGTGTGATATACCACCTGTGCTTTCTGGCCTAAATGCACTGGAATTGAGGTTGATTTCCCTAGGCCATTACATGTATGATTACATAAGACCCCCGAAACTCCATGATGCATTGAGATATTTGATGGCTAACGATCCCCTGTATGCTGACATTGATGTTAATGAACAGTGGATTGAAGATGCTATGACAAATTAATGATGAAGAGCTTTGCCGGCATTTAGTTGCGCAGGATGACGGCAGCATGGATACTGAATGTAGGCAGCTTGAAAATTATAGCAGTGTTCCTTCATGGCGAGGAAAGTGAGCCAATGGAGTGTACCAATTGTGATAAGTTTTTCAATAGCCTTACAGCAGCTGAGAGCATTGGCTCATCAAAACAGCTTTACCATTCAGAATGTACTGTATGATGGCAATTGCATGTTCAGTGCCATCTCATATCAGCTACAGAACACTATAGCTAGTGTATGCAATGCCAGTCTGGGTCTTATAAACATGTTTATTGGCCTAGAATCACACACTCTGATTGTGACAAATAATATTGCTAGACTAAGCTATGGTGATTAACGCATACACATAGCTCAACCCACATGCGTGGTACCACACCGCCGAGGGTTTTGCACTTTAGTGCTTTTCATAATACTATAACAAATGCCATGCATTTTTGGCGAGAGAGCGCATTTATTAAAGAAAGTGGACACTTGGGTTTCGTTGGAAGTATGGAGGAATTTTTTACGCTTCCAATTAAGTTAACTCATTCTGTAGCTAAAAGAAATGCAAACAATCCTGCGTAAAGTATTTGCCAATCATGGTTTTGCACCTGCAGACAGGCATATACATGGGTTTTCTAGCATAGACGAGTCCTCTGTTGGTAGACTACCAGTACATATAACAAGTGATTGGGTTCAAATACCGCAAATTATTGCTTGGGAGAGTCTGTGGTGGATACTTTCCGCACTGCGTGTTTTCCACCGCCCGACAACCAATCACAGTGAAGTGCGGGCTTTTCGAGTGTTTTGGCGCGCAGACTCGATCAAGAAGCCTAAAGCTAACGTATACCGCAGCTAAAGACGCGGCAGTAGATCAGCGATGATAGGAAGGAAGTACACAGATCTACGCCACGGGAGAACTAGCGCGGAAACCTTCCGGCCCGTGGTAGAGCGGTGGAGGGGAGGAAACTATATACCAGTGGGTCGGCTTTCTCGACACTGTTACACGAGAGAGAACTTGATGAGTAATCCCTATTAAATTTTGGTGTTTTATATTCCTCTAGATTGTAGTTGAAGGTAACATTGCAAGCGGAAAATCTACTCTTCTCAGCGAATTGAAACTTATCGATTCTGTTGAGGTAGAGCCATCTCCTCCGTTGTCTACTTCCCTTCCTCACTCCTTCCTCCTTTGCTTTCAACCGCCTCCCTTTCCCTTTCCCTATCTCTAACTGTCTGATGTTCTTTCACTGATCGCAGATCATGGAGGAACCTGTGAAGCTGTGGAGAAACCTAGCCGGGGGAAATCTCATGGTATGTTCTTACTCTCCGAATATATTACATCCTTGCTATCTGATTTCCCTGAGTAACCATGTTGGTGATAGTTCTAAACTTCAGCCATAAATAAATTTACTGTGGCTTGTATATACTTCCTATTCTTCTGGAGTGGTCTTATTCATATTCTTCTTTTGTGGGAGCCTACCTAGTCATCTGAATTGTGTGTATTAGATGGCACTATACATACCATATAAAGCCACAGAAATTTCGTACTCATGTTCGCCAACAAAAATATTCATTGCACATTGTATAATGTAGGGACTTATGTATGAAGATTCCAAGAGGTGGGGCTATCTCTTTCAGTCATATGTGCTACTCACTATGATGGACCTCCACCACAAGCAAGTGGTGAGCTGACCTCAGCTAATTACCCTCGGCGCGCATGCGCAGCGAGGGTACGGTAGTTGGGTGTGTTTGTGTGTGTTTGTCTGTCTGTTACTCTACATCTCACTTCACGGGTGTTCGTTCGTCTCCCAAAGGATACGACCTACTTAACGGGCAACGAAGGTCAGGATTTTCGATTTCTCTGAAAATGCTCCGTTGCAAAGCTAGAGCGCTTCCAGCCTAATCCCGGTAGTCGCCGCTGCGGAAAAGGCGCATGCGGTTATATGCTTATATACCTCGACCGGGCCCGCTTGCTCTGTGTATCTTTAGGGCACAAGAAGTCAGAATGAAGGGCGTGTATCGATTCCCGTATGCTATCTAATACTGTCGCTAGCCCGTGTCAGACTCTCCGCGAGCTACTATTATAGCTGGGAGACGTAGAGTAAACGATACTACTAATAGGCCAGCCCATTAATTAGCAGTACCGCGCATGCGCAGTTCGCCGAGGGTTTGGACTTTAATTATGCTGTATAATGGCCCGGTAATGCACAAGACAATGTACTGTTTATCCATACTAGTGCTTTAGCCTGCCAATGAAACAGAATGAAGTGTTCGCGTTAGTCAGATGTCAGGGGTCTTATTTCAGGCAAGTTTCTTTCCATGGTCTATGCAAAGCAAAAGGGAGGCATCCTCCTTTCATGGGTGTCATTAGAGAGGGTTTCCACTGTAATGAAGACTGTTTACAGCCCTGTTTGTGTGAAGCTACTTTTTAAACCTTTGTGTGTGTTTAGTCCCACGTAAATGTGTGTCGTGATATATAGGAAAGTAAAGAGCTCTTTGCTACATGAGGGCAGTAGCATCAATGTAGTATACGCATGCTGCAACGTATGCCTGTGTGTTGACTGTGTTCAGGAGGCTCCAGTGGCGGTGTTAGAGAGAAGTGTCTATAGTGCACGCTACTGTTTCGTCAAACACCCTGCACGAGAGGTACATTCATACATATTATGCAAGTATACAATATGTATACACAGTTATACATAGTATTGTGAAAATTTTCTTGGGAGTGGGGAGGGGGTGAAAGAACCTTCACCCTTTCAACGACATCGTACATGTTTCTATGTGTGCTGTTTGGTGGGTGGTTGGTGCTGTAGTATAATACCTGCTGTCACAGCACCACATGTTATTAGACATGAAGCCTGCAATTTGTATGGTCTGTGTTTTGTCCTCGTATGCGTACTTAAAATAATTCTGATGCTGACTATTACACACACACACACACACACACACACACAGTGAAAGAAATGACGATATGGAACACGAGTGCTACTGCCAGTGGTTTGATCATGTGACGAGGCAGAGTCCTCCACGGCTAGACCTGATTGGTATGCAGGTGGCATGCACCACAACCTTGCATGCATCAGCTACAGCAGTATTATAATTATTCCAGTATTATAGGCAGTTGCCCACCCTCTGGCAAAAAATATATACTAAGCCAATGCCCGTCATTTTCTTTTGGTGGGGACCCTTTCCTCGTGTTGGATTTTCACATTATTACCTCAGGGTTTTACAGGAAATTCAACCTCTGTGCATGTTGTGGGTATTATTAGCTATGGGAGGCCCAGTGGGCAGTGTACAGGTAGGACTGACTAAGTTATGGCAGTCCTGTGGTCTTATTACATGTGTGGGCAGGTTTACTCACGTATTACGACACACACTCTCTCTCCCCTTTCCTCAATTCTCTCTCTCTCTCAAACACGCACCACACACAGTTTACTTAAGGTCATCTCCAGAGGTGTGCTACAAACGGGTGCAGGAGAGAGGGAGAGAGGAAGAGAAGAAAAGAGTCGATTTGGTAAGAGCAATTGACGCATTTAGCTCATGAATGGTAAGTACCAACACTGTCTTAGCTTTCTTACATTTCTGTATGTATGTGTTTGTGTGTGTGTGTGTGTGTGTGTGCGTGTGTATGTATGTATGTATGTATGTAATCTCTTTCAGTCACGGAATCGGCTTCTGCGCCAGATCGGCATTTTTCCAGCAACTCTCCTGCACGCATGCATAATTCTGCCCAAATCGACACACCCCTTTCATCCCGCGCACGCGTGCTGTGGCGATCTTTCTTTCTGAGACTTATATACGCACAACCTCTGTGCCTGCCTTTCGGCCTGCTGAGATATTTATGACATGTCTCACTCAATCCGGACCTTTTCGCTTTTTTTAAGTACTGAAAGGGTAGATGAAAGGAACATCAAAGCTCCGACCGCCACATCCAAGTGCCGACTCACCACTTCTGAGGATGCGTGGGTGTTTTTTACGAGATAATGCCGCAATGCCGCCCACCTACAGGGTCAAAGGGCAGCATGAGCTCTGCAAGCAGCAATTGCTGGTACAATTCCTCTTAACCACCATTCATACACGTCGGTTGCTTAGGAACGTCCAACAAGTATGTATGTATATATCTATGTATGTCTGTCTGTATGTATGAATGTATGTATGTACATGTCTGTATACCCATGGCAGGATTATGTTAAAGCTCTGAATAAATGCTATGAGGATTGGCTGGGAAATGAGGAACACCACAGTTGGCATGGCAACACACCGGTGCTGGTATGTCCCTCATTACAAGACATGGAGATAATCCTTGTCAATGTCGGTAATATGTAAAGAGCCATTTTGTACAACTCAAGTACTTGATGTTAAGTGCATTCTCCTTTCTCTTTCTCTTCCTTCTACCCCCATTTTCCTCTCTCTCTCTCTCTCTCTCTCTCTCTCTTACACAGGTCATAGATGGAAATGAGGACAAGACTCTACACAAGACACACTGTTCCAACATCCTTTCTCATCTCGGCCTCTCTGAAACTGTTGCAGCATAGCACCCTTTACTATATACCTCGATGCTCATAACACCATTCTTGAGGTTTTTTTGTACTCCTCAGCTAGCTGTGTTAGTGCCGTTCGTTTGCGCATGCGTTCTGTACCACTTATTCGCGCATGCGCGCTCCGTGCTCTCACTTATTCGGCACGGCATTACGTCAGGAAAAGAGGCGTGTCTCTTGACTAATCGTGCTTGTTTGCTCGCTAGGTGTAGATCTAAGACGCAGAATCACGTCACCTGCAAGTTTCGTTCTCCGAGCTGTATTAGAATCGGTAGACTCTATATAGGGATGGCGCGGGTGAAATCTCACGTGATCCGCGTACAAAGCGACCAAAAACTCGGTGAGAATGACTCCCTATGCCTCCAAACACGCTAGAATAGTCTACGGGCCCATATCTACCTATTATGTTCCCAAAATCAATCATCATACGCACCTGCAGTCGTCCACGCGAGAAGTCGCTCATTCGCGATTTCACGATTTTCGTGTCTTCATCTTCTTCTTCAACCCGCTATCTCCTTACCAGTACCAGTTCGAGCGCTGATTTTTTCACTTAACGTCTCCAATTTCGCCGGAGGTGTGCACGGACATCAAGCGATCGTTTCTTTCTTGCCGCGTCACTAGGGTAGATCATATGGATCATCTTCCTTGGTCGACACTGAACACTCAGCACCAGTCAGCCGTGCGCATGCGCTAGGCAGGGGCGTTGTCAAATGCGTTGTGCGCACGTATTACCAGGCGAGTTGACAGACCTGCAGAGGAACTCTCAGCCTCCAGTGCCTTCTGTAAATAAGTGTTCCAACTGGATTGCTGTTTATTTGCACGATGAGCAATTTGGCAGAGTCTGCGCGGCGTTACCCGAGCCTTGCAGGGCGCTCAAATGGGCCTTCATTGTTTGTCCCCCCCAGGTTGTAGGCTGATGATTACCAAAGCCTGCCAGTGAAAAAACACAACCATGTGCAAGAAATTACATCCTTGTTGAAGACAATTGCGGTATCTAGCCCCTGCTTCAGGCAATAGCAGCCCATTATATATTTAGCTATTGCTTTCAACGGTTAAAGTTTGTCAATGGTAGCCTATCTACAACATACCCACAACATCAGAGTGACTGTAACAATAAATGCAGTGTTGTCATAAGCTGTTAAAAATAGTGGAAAAACAAGTGGAAAAATCATTTCTTCAAAATGAAGGGGGATATAGGGATGGCTTGAAGCACCAAAAAGGACATTACACGGCACAGTTGCACGAAGCTACGACACCATCCCTATATCTTTGTTTTATTGTTCATAGCAAAGTTACCTACATAATTATCTTTGTTGTGTTGTTCATAAGCAAAGTTTTAATATCGAACAAAGATATAGGGATGGTGTCATGTAGCTTTGTGCAACTTTGCTGTGTAATGACCCCTTGTTTCTTTTGGTGGTTTAAGCCATCCCTATATATCCCCCTTCATTTTGGTGAAATGATTTGTCCACTTGTCCACTTGTGCAATAGCATGGCTGTAGCACACCAGAACCTGAAACCCTCATATAGTGAATGTATACGTACATGTCGATTTTCGTTGTTGCAATGGTGGATGCTAAATGGTGTAGCTACTACTGCTGTTGCAGGTCTCACGTCAATCCAAGCGGCGAGATTTTTCTATGTATTTATACGTTGAACCGAGTATTCAACTGTGCATGCAACAGGATTCGTGCTTCTTTTTATTTCACACGCTGTCTCATCCTCGGTGCGTGATTCTGGCAAGAGAACTCTTGTCCATTTGACAGCATATTTGCTGCAACCTTCGGTGATTGACCGTGACTGTATATACCACTTTCCAATCTTCTTGGTTCCAAGGTGCAAGTTGTAAAGAAGCTAGGATGGCTCGTGCAGATACGGTCATTGTGTGCTCGCTCCTGTTCGCCAAAAATGTGCAGTTATCTTGTACAATGCACTGACTAAGGGCATGCCCTGGTTCTCTGAGGGTAGAACAAGGTCATCGTTCACAATTATAATTGATAACTTAACATCCTTTTTACAATATGTTTCTGGGAGTGATAGACTGATACCAGTCTCATCCCAAATAAACTTGGACTTCTTTCCGTCGTAAATATAAACCTTTTTCTGAATAAGTTGATAATTGGCAATGGTTTTCATCAGCCTCGCATCAGCTGCTAACTTGTGTTTGGGGCATTTAACAAACTCCTGTAGCTGATGTTTACATTCATGACGTACGTCTTTGGTTATCGGTGGTTTACCGTCAAAGCCGCCTGAGAAAACAGCATAGTTTTAACAATGAGAGGGACATACTATGGTTGCTAACATTCTGCCATCACTTGTGATTCGTCCGTTCAAAACTGCTGCTACGCGCGCGCGCGCGGACTCCGAAGTGCATGTAACGCCAGCATTTTATAATAGCTACGCGTAGGCATGCGCGGAATGAATCCTTGCGTGAGCCGCAATGCACAGTTGCAGTGATATCACAATAAAACACATAACAAGACCACACCGTATAGTATAAAGAGAGAGACAGCAAATTGCAAGGGTATCTAAAGGGGTTGTGTGGATACAGCTATACAAAAAATTAATAGTGTAGGGCAGCATCATTACTAGCGGTCAGCTAGCATGACCAAGGCACAATGGAGTGCCTTGGCCTTGAGAACCAGGGATTGTGGGTTAAACAGATATTTTACCACCGGTGCAAAGCCTGTTGTAGCAATGCTGACACTGTATACATAGTTGCTACCTTATTGGCTTACCACACCTTTGAATTATACGTAGCTATAGGTGTGGACTCTACAGCAAGTATATACTATAACCAATAAAGTACTAACTACAGTGGAACCGCTCATATAACGGACCCTCTGAGAAGCGGACAAACACTAAGAACGGATTTAAATTACCGTATAGCTAATACCTCCGAGATCCGGGCATCGGACACAAACCGCGCCCCTGACTAACTCATTTTCGCCTGTGAGAGCCGACAGATCGCACTCCAGCCAGCCACACGCTATATGGTGCAAAGAACATCGGCAGCGTGGGTTTACGCTAGTCTTTACGCTAGTCTTTGCCCAGCGAGCACAGCGAAAGGCAAGCGCGAATACATCGTAAATCACCCCAAGAGGGGTTTATAAGGTGAAATAAGACAAACCTCCGAGATGGGGACGACCTCTCTACAAGGGCCGATGACCCTCTCTCGAGAGAGGTTCCAATGTATGTAGCTATACAGTTTCAACATTGGTACAATAGGCCTTGCTGATGATACACTTATAGTGTAACAGAGCTGTCTAGTCTATTGGTGGGAGTGACAAAAAACATTATGGAGGAATAAATTTATGCTTTATGCAGGGAGTAGGTAGCTAGATACGCAGTTCTCGACTCTTTTCACATTTCGTAGAGCCATCATTTTCGACATCAGTTGAGAGGAGAAATTATGAACATTTGCTGCAGGCATAGTGTATAGAGCGAGATGTAGTATAGTCGAGAGACTCAGGACGGCATCTCAAAATAGAGCACAATTACGAAGGGGGAAGCCGCTTTATATGGGGATGAATCAAGCACTAGGAGAGGGTCATGGGCTAATGAAAGAAAAGGTCAATACAGAAAAGCTAACACCACAAAAACATTATGCCACAACAAGAGAAAAAGAAGGAAAGTAGGTCTACGAGTAGTTACGAGAACCGCCAATATTCCTGTTGCTATACCAGTGTTCTCCGGCCACTCAAACCTGTCCAACTGGGTCCCAGCCTGTCTGCGAGAGACAGTCATATCTCACTATCACTCCTATGATGACGACGACAATGAGCCGGGAATCACCGAAGAAGAAGAGGGAGAGAGTGACAGTTCGGACGACCGGGATATGATCATGATGGAACCATTGGAACCAACTGTTGGCACACCTCTCACTAGCACAGGGTCTATACCCACATTTAGGGGCGTGGCTACTATGACTCCCATCGGTAGGAGTTGGTTGAGTTCACCAAACAGAACTTTTGGTAGCTCACAAATAGCACTGCCGACAATGCCCATCATTCCAGGGGGAAAGGATATGGCTATCCCCATTTAATGAATCGATGCACCTTCAACGCGGAGGACACCTGTTAGGAGCAATCAAAAGGCTCTCTGTGATTCCTGAGGAAACCACCTCGGCTTGTAGTAGTGTGACTAGTATGTATACAGAACAGTAGTAGCTAATTATTTACTCATATATTTCTGTCTGTTGTGACTATATACTAGAATTTCCCAATCTGTAAAGGAGGTTTTCCGCGTTGGGAACCCGTTGGTGTCGCTATTTGGCCTGTTTGTTGCGCGTGGCGGTAAAAAAAACGTGGTAGCTAACAGACGGACGGACAGACGGACAGACGGACAGACCAAGTACTGTACCCATCGCTGCGCATGCGCGCCGAGGGTTAACAATAATACACCGCGGTTATCATGTCATCAGAGCAGCTCCAGTGCCGTAGCCTGGGTTAGTTTTCACGAAAAGGCCACTTCACATCTTCTTACTCGCCAGGCTGTGCCTCGGCAGTTCATTTTCAATGCTGTTCACGCACGCTGCTTGCCTACAAAAAATTGCGGTTAGTAGTAACGGTAGTCTCGCTTGCTAAACACGCAAGGAGAAAGAGTTTTGTCAAACTAGAGTTCCATCACCTTTGCGAAGAGGGTGCGATCAGGCACACGCGCGTGCGCAACAAAACTACATACGAACGTGGTATATAGCACCGACTTACCGCGCCGCCGAAAGTGAATGCCTTGCGTGAGCTAGGGTCTGGCTTAGCTAGGGTGTGGTTTATACTGCTTGTCGATGGAAAAATACACGATTTAGAGCCCTTAGTAGCGTCTTCGCTGCGCTCAGACAGCTACAGCTCAGGGCCCCTGGTCTCGGGCCGTCTAAGTCGCGTATTTCCATTGGCGCGCAGTATAACCTATTATGTAACGTTCTAGCTACGTGATTCGCGAAAATCACTCGCCATGCTCGCCAAAAATGCGTGGCATTTATCCACAGTGTAATACCCTAATATCATATGTCCTCCCTTCTTCTACTACAACGTGCCGGAGATTGTTATGTCTCGTCTTAGACGGTAGTAGCCATTCCTTCGGGAGCAGTGTTAGCTAAACAGTGACACTCCTACGACATGAATTCACCCTAGCCAGATATTTTAGCTATAGTCTCCTACACAAACCTTTAAAATAATTAAAGTATCCTCCCCAAACAGCATTACAAACAAGAGTCGCAGTCCAGTCCGGTTCCACGCATACATTCTGACAATAAAGTCTCCTCCTATACAAAAATACCCACAGATGAGTCTCCTGTAATTTAGACATTGCTTGCTAGTATATAATTTTGACATTGCTTGCTAGTAATTTAGACATTGCTTGCTAGAGAGTGAGCTAGTGTGTAGCTAGTTTTGATACTCTTCATGGTCTGTTCAAGCATTTTACTAAAACATACACTGACCAAATTTTTATGCTGCCACCACAGCATGGATATCATAATTATATAGGCTATAGCTACACTTCATGTTGTCGTCAGGTTAGATATTTAAAGTCTACCACACGCGGGTGGAAGGTTATAGGTGAGGGTCTGTACCTCTTGATCTGCAGCCTCTGCAACATTCTGTGACATTCATCACATTCATGGTGGAAGTTATTCGTGACTAGTGTCTAGGTCAAAATTGTTGGCTTATTATCTGTTTGTCACACCAATGAAAAAAATACTACACTGCATAATTATGATTACTCTTATAGTTATGGCTAGTTTGCTCTTTTTCTCTTTCCTCTCCCACTAGGTGAGGGACTTGGGATAAAAGATGGACACCTGAAGAATTATAATACGCGCAATATAACCTATATGTAAGGTTCTAGCTATACGTGATTCGCGAAAATCGAATTGCGCGCCATGCTCGACAAAAATGCGTGACATATGCAATACCGTAATATCATCTGTCCTCCCTTCTTTTACTACAACGTGCCGTATGTCTCGCCTTAGACGATAGTATAGCCATTTCTTCGGGAGCAGACTTATATAGCTAAATAGTGAGACTCCTACGACACTATAATTCTTCACTTTAGCTAGATAGCTAGCTACGTAGCTTATCTACACAAACATTAAATTAGCTAGTATCCTACACAATGATTTAAAATAACTGTTTCTATAATTATTATGTTTTTGTGTAGTAGACTATAGCTACAGTTTTTTTAAATGTTTGTGTAGGAGACTAGATACATAGCTATCTAGCTAGTGAATTCTAAGTCTGCTCCCGAGGGAATATATAGCTACTACCGTCTAAGAAGGGCCTTAGTATCCTCCAAAAACAAAATTACAAAGAAGAATCCATGGCCAGTCTGGTTCCACACATACATTCTGACAATAAGGTCTCCTCGTAAACAAAAATATGGCAGAGTCTCCCGTAATTAACCCATCGGCGCGCATGCGCAGCGACGGTTACCGTAGTTGCCGTGTGAGTCTGTCCCAACATTTCACTTCACGAGCCATGAATCGCTCCACAAACAATACCAGGTATTCAGCGTCGGGTATAGGTCTACGCGAGCCTGACAATAAAAAGGGCGATTTTCTTGAAACGATTGCGTTCGAGAGATATATGCCGTGAAAACAAGCGAAAAAGCCAATTGCACAATAGCAGTCTTACCGCGACATCATCCGCTCGCTCATGTGTACCTTGGGGGCTCAGGAAGCCACAACGAATGGCATGCATCGACTCCCGCATGCTATCTACTGCTGTAACTAGCCCGTGTCAGACTCTCCTCGAGCTATTAGGGGGAGACCACGGGTAAACGCATACAAATAGCCCAGCCATCATTTAGCAGTATCGCGCTTGCGCTGTTCGCCGAAGGTTTGCACTTTAGTGCCTTTCATTGTAAAAGCAAAGCGTTAGACAGTTATGGCGTGAAAACCAAATTAACAACCCAATATGCTGCTTACCTCCACCGGATTTTTTTGCTGTTTTATATGTATCTACGGAAGCAGACGAGTGTCGAGTGCAGCGAACCCTAATAGCTCAAATCTAAACGCTGAGTGTGAGCTGAGCGGGTATCCAGACCGCACCAACTCAGTGTATATAGGAAGCGAGAAAAAATAAAACGCATGCGTGTGTTGCACTGGCGGGTTGCGCATAATGATCACGCCATAAGTAGCACCGTTGAGCGGCCAGGATTTCATTTTTGTGAGGGCAGAGCTCGAGCAAATTTCTGGTCGTTTCTGGAGCAAACACGTTTTTGAGCTGACAATCAGCACTCGTGCATTGCGGGCGTTGTATGCAGAGGGGGCTGACCGATGGAGAGCAAGAAGGTATGTCCGCAGTGTGTGACACCACAGTATATAATGCTAGACGGGCGGTTCCGTCAAAAGGAGAGCGCGAGTGTATGGCCAAAAACGGAAGCGATGTAATGTCGAAGAACTTAGAGGACTGAAACAAGAGAAATTTGCGAGAACAGAGCGTGACAGGCTATATAGCTACGTAAACAAAGCACAAGGGAACAGCTGAAACATACGATCAACTTCATTCAAATTTCACCCCTGCGAGGAAGTAATGTAATAGACTGGTATAAAGAAACACAAAAGCGTCTGAAACAATGAGCAGACGTTGCAAGGCAGGAACGTGAAAGACTTATAAAGAAAGCGCCACTGGGCCATCTTACTGTACTGAGAGAGGATGAACTCAATGTTTTAGTAAGCAAATGTGAGGGCAGTAGAAACACCGGACAAAAGTTCACGTAGGATTAAAAAATTAGGCAAAAGCGAGGTTTGTCTGTTGAAAAACGCATTTCACTCAGAGATCCAAAGTGGACCATGGATATGTGTGTATATATTACCTGTATGATGTATAGAAAGAGTGTTGCCCAGCGTAGAAAATCTAAATATGCCAAAGTCAGTCTTGATGTATATACTTCAAAATGTGTTTAATTAAAGTGCAAACCCTCGGCGAACTGCGCGTCTGCGGTACCATTAATGGATGGGCTGGGCCTATTAGTATGCGTTTACCGCGCGGCCTCCCGCCATATAGTAGCTCGCGGAGGAGTCTGGACACGGGTTAGCTACGGTAGTAGATAGCAAGCCGGAGTCGACAAACGCCCTTCGCTGTGGCTTCTTGTGCCTCCAAGGTAAACAGAGCAAGCGGATCAGGTCGATGTGAGCCAGCATACCGCGTTCGTCCAGTATACGCATGCGCACAGCTTATTGATGGGTATTGGGCCACGCAACGCGGTCAGCGACCGTACCAGTTTGTCGCTATCGAACGCAGTCGTTTCAGGAAAATCGCCACATTAATATCCATCTCCTCGTCGTTCACAACCCGTTGGTGCCACTCATTGGCCGCCTCGTAGCCTGTAGTGCTAGAACTCGCGCAGACAGACAGACAGACTGACTACTGTAACCCTCGCTGTGCATGCGCGCCGAGGGTTAATTACAGCGCATCAAGTCCCGTGTGGCTGCAAACCAGTAGAATGTTAATAATAGCCAGGTGAGGGTTTCTTACATTATAGTGATGTCACACACAACACAAGCTACTATTGTACTGTTAACGGGCGTGAACTACGCACTGCGGAACCTGGTGTGCGCTGCCTATTAGCTATCGAAACTACCCGACCTATAACACACATAATATAGATGTATATAATTATTATTATCGTTGGATGTTTGATTTTTCCCCCAAGGGGATACAATAATGGGACAACCAGTGGAAGGGGTGAAACAAGCTAGGCTTTAGTCCACCTTCCGAACGAAAAAATTAATGTAAAATCGAGCGGGCAGTGCCCGTGTACCAGATACTCTACACTTCTAAGAACAGTTCCAGAAATTCTTTTTAAAATGGCAAAACATTCCGCCAATTGCTAATGTGCGTGGGTTGCTGCCAACCCTTGCCCCTCAGCCTTGCAGCTGGGATAGTAGAAATGATACACATAAGCATGAGAGACGATGTGACTTTCAAAGGTTTGGGAGAAGAAGTCAGCCTTGTCCTCGACAGGATCTAAGGCCAAGAACGGGGGAGATGGCGTCTGATACCCAGAGAGGGGTTGAATTTACCTAATCTCCAAGGCTCTGAGGATGGAGAGATTGTTGGTATCCCAAGAGCCCAAGCATCCCACCACTAGCACTAGAACAGAAGTCTTGAGCACCAGGAATATTATAAGTACTGAGTTCCAAGGGCGACCAAAACATTATCAAAAAATGGAATTAGCTGTGCTTAAAATCGACAAACAATCAAGCCTAGAAATTTGACCACGAATCTCTGGGTTTTTGCTGACACATCGATAACAACCTTCCAATGCGCACAAGTCAAATGATGCATAGCTAGTCGACTGTTAGCTCAGTGTGGGGTATGTGATGTCCAGAGCTGCAGCTAATATTTAATTTATTTTTTGCCTTGCGTATACTTTTCGTTGCTTTTTATACAAACTAAACCGTTTATCTGTTAGTTTACTAACAGCTAAGCATTACATAAGAGTGAGCAAAAACCACAAAGAAATTCGAACAAAGAGGCAAAGAGACAGTAATGATGTCGATGGTTGTCATTTCCCTCAGTCTCCTCTGGTCCCTGGTGGAGGTCCACTCTCAGCTGACCTTTCCTTATGTCTCCTTCATGAGCAAGCCTCTGGCATACGACTCTTATGTGGACTTTAGCCTAATAGGGATAACTGAAATTGAGAGTGTTCAGTGTCACACTGACCTGAGAACATGCTGCAGCAATGAGCAGGGTATTCATCGTGGTGACTGGTACTTCCCTAATGGAAACAGACTGCCATTTGATGGGGGAGCCAACGATATTCACCAGCATCGTGACTATCGGAGAGTTGATCTACGTCGTAGGAATGCCACCTCACCATCTGGCATGTATCATTGTGATATTGCAACTGTTGATGTCCATGATAACACAACCACTCAATTGACCCGAAGCAGGGTGTATGTTGGATTGTATGCCAATGGAGGTTTGTGTTATAGCAAAGAATTTGATGCCAAACCTGATTTTGCTCATCTCTTGTACAGGAGATATGTCTATATCTGGTGGTATTATGCTGAATGTGGACTTTGATGGAGCCAGTCCTCAGTTTAGCCTCTCCTGTATCTCCACTGGTGGACCTGCTACTACTGTCACTTGGACCAGAGACTCCACCACTGTCACCCATGGAACTGAGACTGTTTTAGTCAATGCAATCACGGCAGAGTACATCCATACACTGAATGTGACTGGGAGAATGGAAGGAAGGTACACATGTACTGTGGCTAACAACAAACCATCAAACGGATCAGCATCTCGTGATTGTGAGGCTGCATGAAAATTTACTAAAATTTCTTGGTGATTCTTTTGTGTTCTTTCCCAGTTCCTGGCCAGCCAATAATATTTTCTCGTGGAAAAATCTCCCAACACTCTTAACTTTACTTGGAATGTATCAAACACCACAGATGATAGTACCTATACAGTTCAATGGAAGAAGACAGGCTGTTTAGCTGAAAATCGAGTGAACAGTGGCTCTATTACCACCAATGATACAAGTTACAGTATAACAGGACTAGAGGAGGGCAGTAGGTACAACATTACTGTAACTGCAGGGGGACTGAGTAACACTGTATCGTGCTGTGACCACATTGAAAGGTTATAGATAATTATTATGATGCCAATCATGCAAGTGTGTTTTTTACAGCTCCATCTGCTGCTCCAAATGTGACACTGACTTTCGCCACCTCCTACTCCATCACTATCCATTGGGAGATGGTGCCCTGTGAACATATGAATGGTGATATTATTACTGGCTACTCAGTGAGATATGGAGAGATGGGGACCAACATGAGAGACACGACTGTGCTGAATATTACTGGAGCTAGTGTAACTGAGGCTACCATCTCTAACCTGACGCTGTCTACTAACTACTCAATTCAAGTTGCAGCAGTCAACAGAGCTGGTACTGGAGTGTTCGGTAATGCCACTTTTGTAAAGACAGTCGAAAAAGTAAGTTTTTACCTAGTTTTGAGAGAAATCGTAATGTGTGAACTGAACTGTTATTATTGTACCTACCTTCAGGTGTATATCTCACCTTCAGACAAACAATAATACCTGACTATGGCTATGTTGTATTGAATGAAATCGGCAACACTGATGAAACTGCTCTACTCTGTCATACCAACTACCCTCCTCCTCCCAACAATGTAACTTCTGGAGGAGACTGGTTTGCTCCAAATGGGAAGAGAGTGGGAGGTGACAATGGGCCTGGTGACCTAGGGTTTGTGAGAAACAGAGGTCCTCATGTCGTGAGACTGAAGAGATCAACTGCTGGTAGCTACTCCACTTGAGGGGACATACAGGTGTGTGATTCAGGACACCACAAAGAAAAATCAAACAATTTATGTGGCACTCTATGGTATGTGATACAATGTGTTTCACTTAAACTTATGATCATGCAACAATTTTAAGTCACCAGTACCTCCTCAACCTTCTCTTCTTCCAATGTGGCTGGAAACTCTGTCATTTCTGCTAGCTCTATCCTTAAGTACAGTGAAATGAATGTATCTACTGCCTTTTCAGGGCAGAGTCATAGAACAACATCGACCACAGCTAACTCTACCTTCACTGAGAGATCTACTTTTAGTCACTTACCTCCAACCCCAAATATTTTCTACACATCTCCTGCTCCAACCCTCTCTAGTTCCAGCAGCGGGTGAATGTTCTCCAGACCTACCCCAACCCCTAATCTTGGGTTCATATATATTTCCCATTAGTGCAACTTAATTATGTACTCCCGACAGGTCTACTGGTTCCGGCTGGTTGTCTACAATGGCTATAACAATTGGAGTTATTGTAGCAACTCTTACAGTATCTTTCAGTGTTATTGGTCTACTGTGTCTCAAAGGTTATTTCAATACACAGGAACAATTCTGAAGGTTTTAATTATTTTTTCATTACCTATTAAACAGGTAGTAAAGATCGAGGTACAACTATCCACACTTCAACCAATGAGGCCTATGGGGAGGTGAGGGGGAAAGGAGGAATTGCAGTCAACAGCATCCAAACCTCAACCAATGAGGCATATGGAACAGTGAGAGATAGAGGAGGGGTCCATATTACAACCTCTACCAATGAGGCAGCTGGGGAAGGAGAAGGATATGAACTGGTGAATTTCCCTTGCAGAGAATCACCTCTTCTTCCAGCTGGTATAAAAACTATAGGAGATGTGTGAAGTTCCATTTTCCTTCTTCTCCACTTTCCATTCTCCTATAATAGGTGCAGAGGAAGGCGCTGTATATGAGGTCATTTCTGGTGACCAGTGACTGCACTCATGTTTTTGTGCATAGCTTATGGCTAGAGTTTGTGATGGTGCTCTTTAATAAGAATCATTGCAGTATATACAGTGGCCAAATTCAAAGGTTATAGGTGCAATTGATCAGACGAAAAAGGTGGCATAAAATAGACAAAGCACAGCCTTTAATCTCAACGTGTGGTGTCAGGTGATTCACGCCTTGTTACGCACTGTTGCTTTGTTTATCTAATATCTAAAACAAACAATCTGTGTAGGTAATCATCACATAAAGCAACACGATGTAGTGAGCTAAAGGTCAAACACAGAGTGTGTAATGATGTTTGTGGTGGTTACTTATCAACAGCTTCAATATCATTACTTAACTGATTTTTCATGGTGGAGAATCGAAATTAACACAGTTCAATCAGAAGTGTTGTCGCACTGAGCTTTGCAGCTCTTCCACTGAGCCTGGCTTTGACACCCATCACTGCACCTATATTTACACTTGCGGCGCACTTCAAGGTTGAATTTGCTGATTATCAAGAGGGTGGTGATCTAACTGATGACTGATACATTATTGTTGTAACATGTTGAATTTACACAGTAGGATGTTAGCTACATATCCGAACACCCAGTTAATGTTATAATAAAAAGCACAAAGTGCAAACCCTCGGCGGTAAACTAGCGAGTTGTAGCATCGCTGTATGCTGGGCCGTGCGTCATCGACGGAGCCAGTAACACGAGTTTCACCGTAACACAGGGTAGTTGCATTAGCGGTTAGAGCAATAGCTCAGGTGTTTCAGAGGCTCTCATCTTTGCTTTATTCAATCTATCTGCTCTTCTGTGTTTCAATGCTCTCGCCAGACGTTTTATAGATGGGAAGGCAAGGCCGCAACCACAAACTGCTCGCCACCTGAACTGTTGCTTGCCCAGCATGTTTATCGTTTATCCATAGGGAACAGAGATCAAAACTGACAGGAGGCAGTGGATCGCGCATGCTCCGGCGATTAGTTGACATTACGCGTGCGCGCTATATAGCCTGCAGGAGAGGGCGCGTGCGCGATCCACCGCGCGTTGGCTTTTTCGCTTGTTTTCACGCCATATCTCCGGAACGCAGTCGTTTCGGGAAAATCCCCACATTAATATCAATCTTCTCGTCGTTCACAACCCGTTGGTGTCTCTCATTGGCCGACTCGTAGCCTGTAGTGCTAGAACTCGCGCGGACGGACAGACGGACTGACAGATGGACAGACAGAACGACTACTGTAACCCTCGCTGCGCATGCGCGCCGAGGGTTAATTATAGCGCATCAAGTCCCGTGTGGCTGCAAACCAGTAGAATGTTAATAATTGCCAGGTGAGGGTTTCTTACAAATCTGAAGAATAATACATTATAGTGATGTCACACACAACACAAGCGACTATTGGATGATTTATACTGTTAACGGGCGTGAACTACATCAAAAGAATATAATGCGCTGCGGAACCTGGTGTGCGCTGCCTATTAGGTATCGAAACTACCCGACCTATAACACACATAATATAGATGTATTATATTGTTGGATGTTTGATTTTTCCCCCAAGGGGATACAATAATGGGGCAACCAGTGGAAGGGGTGAAACAAGCTTCAGTCCATCTTCCGAAAGAAAAAATTGATGTAAAATTGAGCGGGCAGTGCCCGTGTACCAGATACTCTACACTTCTAAGAACAGTTCCATAAATCCATTTTCAAAATCAATTGCTAATGTGCGTGCGTGGGTTGCCGTCTGGGTTTTTGTTGACCCATCGATAACAATCTTCTCATGCTCACTAGCCCACCGTTAGCTCAGTGTGGGGTATGTGCTGCCCAGACCTGAAGCTATTTTATTTTGACTTGTGTATACTTTTTGTTACTCTTGCTACAACTACACTGTTTATCTGTTAGTTGTAAAACTAGCAACTCCTATAGGTAATCATTACATAAGACTGAACACAAAACACAAAGACAGTCAAACAAAGAGACAGTAATGATGTTGATGGTGGTCATTTCCCTCAGTCTCCTCTGGTCCCTGGCGGAGGTCAATTCTCAGCAGACGTTTCCTTATGTCTCCTTCAATAGCCAGACTCTGGCCAACCACTCCTATGTGAACTTTAGCCTAATAGGACATGAGATATCTGGAGATAATATTGTTCAATGTCACACTGACCTGATAAACATGTTGTAACAGAAAGAATAGTATCCATCGTGGTGACTGGTACTTCCCCAATGGAAACCGACTGGCATTTCATGGAGCTAACGATATTCACCAGCATCGTGACTCTAACAGAGTTGACCTATGTCGTACAAGTTCCACCTCACCATCTGGCATGTATCGTTGTGACATTGCTACTGTTGATGATAACAAAGCTACTCAATTGACTCGAAGCAGTGTGTATGTTGGATTGTATGCAAATGGAGGTTTGTATTAAGCAAAACTATAGATGATGCCGAAGCGCATAATTATTTCTGAATTATACAGGTGATGTGTCCATATTTGGTGGTATTACACTGACTGTGGACGCTGTTGGTTCCATTCCTCAGTTTACCCTCACCTCTATCTCCACTGGTGGACCTGCTACCACCATCACTTGGACCAGAGACTCCACCACTGTCACCCACGGAAATGAGACAGTTTTAGTCAATGCAACCACGGCAGAGTACATCCATACACTGAATGTGACTGGGAGAATGGAAGGAAGGTACACATGTACTGTGGCTAACAACAAACCATCAAATGGATCAGCATCCCGTGAATGTGAGGCTGCATGCAACTTTAAAAAGACCTGTTGTTGATTATATTGTGTTTATTCATTTCTTCAAAATGAAGGGGGATGTAGGGATGGTGTAAATTATGAAAAAGGATACCAACAAGAAAGATGCTTCGGCTGAAAACAAAAATCATACATCCATCCCTACATCTTTCTTTCTTCAGCTCTGTCGAAGAATGTGTAGGCACTCAGTTTTGGTGTAGGGTATACTAATTCATAACAAATCACAGTTGAGGTTGTCCCATCCCTCTCTGCGACTTCACCTCTGAACCCTGTCTCATAGGTGGAGGTTAAAGAAAGATGTAGGGATGGATGTATGATTTTTGTTTTCAGCCGAAGCATCTT